TAAAAAAAAAAAAAAAAAAAAGGCGAAAACGTTCTCCCACGTAACGCGCCGTGGACGTGTATGGGAGGAGCAAAGGCCTGAAACTCACAAGCGCGCGGCCGCTACTATTTCTTCGCGATTCCAGATCCAGAATTCACGAACATCTAGAGGAGGCTCCCCCGGCTGTGTGTTTGTGTCCCAGTTAGGGAGCCATGGACGATTCCTCTAGGCAAATTGTCGCCTTTACAACGCCAGAAGGCAGACGCTGGAGTGAAAGCGGCGGGGGGTAAGGGCGGGGCAACTGCTGACGTCCCCGCTGACGACTCCGGCTCCGCCCTCATCCCAGTTTCCGGCGGCGCGCGGCTCCCTTTTCCGCTTTCCCGCGCGCGCACCGATACCGCCTCACTCCCACGCGCCCCCCAGTGCTGCCGCGCTAGACAGCGGAGAGAACAGATACTGAGCTGTCGGAAAGGTCCACTGCAGATCCCCCTTCCGCTCTGCCGAAAGACTTCCGCTTCGGGCGGTCAACATGTACGTTGCGGCTGTCTGGCGAAGCTGCTGCTGAGCATTTGCGGACGCGCAGCTTCCCCTCTGCGGGGCCGCCCTGCTTCCCCCGGTTCCCCGCCTCCCCCCGCCCCTCGCTCCCGTCCCTGGGGTCGGCGGACTTCTCGCTACATGGGGGCGGGCTTCCGCGGTCAGCGCACGGTTTCCTGTTCTGAGGCTGCCCGGCGGTAGGCGGTGGCGACTCTGCCCGCGCCGGCTTCGGCGCGGTGACCGAGCGCCTGGGAGGCTTGAGGACCGTATCCTGTGCCGTTGAGCCAAGCCCGGTCCTGCGCCGCCATGGCCCCAGTGCAGCTGGAGAACCACCAGCTGGTCCCGCCCGGAGGCGGCGGTGGGAGCAGTGGCGGACCCCAGTCTGCCCCAGCCCCTCCTCCCCCGGGAGCCGCCGTGGCGGCGGCGGCTGCAGCTGCTGCTAGCCCGGGCTACCGGCTGAGCACCCTCATTGAATTTCTGCTGCACCGGGCCTACTCGGAGCTTATGGTGTTGACGGACCTGTAAGTGCCCCGAAACCCCTGCCTATTCCCCAGCCCCCCTTCCCGCCCAACCGGCCGAGACGTTTGCACCTCCCTCTCTCTGAGAGGCTGCTGTGTTCTCCGCTGGACTGCTTAGTCTAGAATTTCTGAACTCGTGCGGTTCGGCGGAGGTGGAGAAACAGCTTTGTATCTGGGGTCTTCCTGACAACGGTGTAATCGAGACTTGTTAATTTTGCGTGTTGTTACACTTACACTGAAAATTGTATGAAATTTTTGTCCGAGTTCCCAGCAGAACTCTCTTGATTTCTTGGCTGGAATACATAATATTCCAGCTTTTAGAAAAAAACTCTATAGATGGGAAATCTGTGTTACAGTCTCTTGACGATACGTTTTAAATATAAGCTGTAATTTCTTCTAAGTTAATGCAGGAGCTCTATTGTGAATAAAATACAAATTTGGATTCAGAGTACTTTTTTCTGCAGCCTTTGAGTGTTTGAGGTCTTAATGAAGTTAGTGTGAGTAGAATATTTTTTGGTAACTAGTCTGTTATTTCCTGGAGTATGAAGGGGGTTTATAAATCACCTAGTTATCCATGAAATGCCTTGGGGCATGATTAAGTTGTTAATCCCTTCAAAATAGGATCAGAATATACTAATGAATTTCAGTGTGTGAAGAGAAGGCACCATAACATTTTGGGAGTCGGTTGTACATCTTATAACCCAGGTTCAGGAAAAGTTAATCAGAATTTTATTTTTTCATCTGTTGCAAGACTTCAGATCAGGGTTATCAATTGAGATACATTAGTATGCAGATATTAGGCTGTAAAGCATCACAGTAATTTGTTTTTAGAGACTGATAACAGATACTTGTTTGAAGATGACTAGAAGAATAGGTTCCACTTATTCCTATAAACATCATTCTGAGTTTTGGTGTACTGTAGTTTTTTGAATGGGACCGAAAAAAGAAGGTAAAGAAGCCTACCCATGGCTAATGAGAAATTTAAATAGCTGTCTAGGATTAGGGACTATTGTTAGTGATATACTTCTCTATACCATTTATTATTGGAGTCCATAAAAATCCAAGAATATTATCCATGAGAAAGTTTCATGTATGTGAAGGTCACCTGTCCTATATATAGAGCTACGGACAAAAAATGTTGAAAACTGCTGTTGTCAGTGGTATAATTTGCTTTTCCATAGTGGATTTGTAGAAATTCCTTGAATTGTGATTTTTTGTTTGTTTGTTTTGTTTTTTACTATTTTAGGACTTGGTTTATGAGGAGAGGAACATCTGTTTTATGGGTGTAGAATAAGTATGTAGTTATAGTCCCACACCCTTTATATGGTGATGATTCCCATATTTGTATTTCCAGCACAGACCTCTCTGATGAACTCCAGACTCTATATGCAGATGCCTACATTTCAGTATCTAATGGGCATTTCAACATAGCAAGTCCGGGACTTAACTCCTGATTCCACTGTTCTCCCTCCTGCAAAACCTTTGCTGTCTCACTAAAGAGTATCTCCATTCTTCTGTTGTTGCTCAGGCCAAAAATTTTGGAGTAATTCCTGGCTCCTGTTTCTTCACATCCCACACACATCAGCAAGTCCTGTCGTCTTTGACTTTAGAGTCTGACTATTTCTCAAGACTTCCACCAAGTGTTGGTCCAAGCCACCTAATCCTTTACCTCTGTACTGCAATAGTCAGCTCACTAGTATCTCAGTAGTTCCCTTGCCCCTTCTACAGTTTGTTCTCCACAAAATAGCCAGGATGATTTTTAAAAAGTGTCTCTGCTCAGAACCCTTCAATGGTTCCCCATCTCACTTAGATTAAAAAGTTTTGATAATTGTCAGGCGTGGTGGCTCATGCCTGTAATTCCAGCACTTTGGGAGGCTGAGGAAGGGGGTCACCTGAGCCCAGGAGTTTGAGACCAGCCTGGGCAACATAGCAAGACAGGTATGCACCACCACACCTGGTTAATTTTTGTGTTTTTAGTGGAGATGGGATTTCATCATGTTGACCAGGCTGGGCTGGAACTCCCCACCTCAGGTGGTCTACCCGCCTTGGCCTCCCAAAGTGCTAGGATTACAGGCATGAGCCACCGTACCTGGCCTCCAAAGCTTGATGTTTCTTGTTAGTACCTAGCACACTGCCATCTTAGAGCCTTTGCTCTTTCCCTAGAAATCTGAGTGTATTGCTTTCTCATTAGTCCTTTAGGTTCTCATTTACATACAGTTTATCAGAAAGATTTTCTCTGACCACCTAAAAAATAGTACTCTGCTCCTTCACTCTATCCTTACTTGCTGCTTTTTCTTACAGCACTTATTACCACTTGACATTATTAGTTTGTTTTCTGTTTCACCCCATGAGGTTAGAGATTTCGATTTGTTTGTGACTTTCCTTGGGGCCTAGAACAATGCCTGGTACACAGGGCTTAACTAAGTATTTATTGATTTCATACATGAATGAGTGAATTTTTGATACACAGGTATATTAAAAAACTTTTTTCAGCTGGGCGCAGTGGCTAATGTCTGTAATCTCAGCATTTTGGGAGGCCGAGGTGGGCGGATCACAAGGTCAGAAGTTCGAGCCAGCCTGGCCAATATGGCGAAACCCTGTCTCTACCAAAAATATAAAAATTAGCTGGGTGTGGTGGCGGGCGCCTGTGGTCCCAGCTACTCAGGAGGCTGAGGCAGTAGAATCGCTTGAACCTGGGAGGCGGAGGTTGCGGTGAGCCGA